ACGTTGATATCAGACTTGAAAATGTTTATAATTATAGGTATATAACATTATTTGAATAAGATACTTAACCGACCACGGCGGTAAGTTAATGCAGTTATCAACATTCAATTAGACTACATTAAGAGCTATTTAAACATTTAACATTAGAAAAGTATTTTTCTTAAATATTTTAATGTTATTTTACAATCAATCAGCTCAATGATCGAGTGTCTTAAGGCATACTTTTGTTACAATGGTCATAGATTCGAGCAAAGAATGGCGAGTTGTCATTCATCTATTTTAAAATCAGCGATTGATGGATTTTGCTAGTGGAAAATTAGTATATGTTTCTAAAACTAATAAGTTGTAAAGTCATACATTATGTGCTACAAAAATTGGAGACTTTGAATGCATATCAATCACCGTCCTTACCTTTAAAGCCATAGTGTGTCTCAGAAACGAATACATTTTAACTTCTTTAGAAAGGGTTAAAATGAATTCTATAATGTTTAAAAAATGATTTTAGAGCATGGTGAATGCTTGTAACCTGGAGAAAGTAGCTATAAATGTGAAATGATTTGTCATAAAAAAGCGAAAGGTAAAAATTTTAAATAATTGTACTAATTGCCAAAAGGCAACAGATAAGAAAATTGGTTCAGCTAATTTACCAATGAGCTTTTAAAGAAGAAAATGTATATAAGGCTGATAAGCTTTTTTTTTTACAGAATTTCATCATATCTATTCCCTCACATTTATTAGCCAACTGCATTATTTGTCATTAAGGTAGTAATATAGGGTTAACGCACGTTTTTCCGTGTTATAACATCTGCAGAGTCCAGAGGAACGGTTGGTGCCCGAGCCCGGTAGGGCGAGGGCTCCAACAGTTCCGAGGGACTCTGCAGACTTTATAACACGAAATAAACGTGCGTTGACGCTATTATAGCATAAAATTTTCAAACAGATTTGTGATGTATAGTTCATACAAAATACAATTGCATTAAAGTCTTGAGCTCGGACGGTATTTATCCAATTCTATGTTTTACGTATGCGTTTCATTTTTCCGGGGCCAACAACTTGGAAAATTCTCGGAACCGAACGAAATTTTGAATTTTAATTGATTTAACAAAGCTTGGCCTTTGGAGATTTATTATCTCAAGAAAAAAAACGTTACATTACTACATTACTCTACCCTCTGCCCAAGACAAAACATGACCCTCAGAAATTCTTAGAATGATTTCAGATTGACGGTAGAAAAAAGATCAGTGACATCAGAATCGGTTTTTTTTCAAGCAAACAAGTTTATAAAAAAATCAGGCACTACTGAAGTAAGCATTATTCTCTCAAAGAAATATAAAGAGCATTTATCAACATTAACATTATAATAGGTAAACAAAAGAGTGTTTTTATATTCCAAACAAACTTTTTATTCACTAGAATTGTTATAATTGCCAAAACGCAACAGAAGCAAATTATTGCTCAGTAAATTGGCAAATGAGTTACGTTTGGAAAATATATATATATAACAGTTTGAATGATAAAAATGAAATCATTTCTGAGGCATATTGGGCCTTTAAGAAAGAAACGAAATAAATGTCTATGCTACAATTTTACGAGTATACTGTTCCAAAACATATTACCAGTCTTATTACACAAAACGCTCTGATGCACTCGGTGAATAAATACCAGTCGTCTGTAATTGGTGTTCGCGATAAAAATGATAACGAGGCTTGTGGGACTTTCGCATATACGACAATAAATTCACATCGACCAAACATTCTGAGATTTTAAAGTATTTTGTCGCAAAGCGTCTATAATAAAATCTGGTTACAATACATCAGTTTTTCATAATGAAGTTTACTTCTCTATCTAAATGTATAATTCACTTAAAAAGTATCTCTGTTTATTTCTCTTCTTTGTTGTTAGCAGTGAAAATTAAGAGACAATGGTACAATTTTTAATTAGTTTCATACCGTACCATTTAACATGTTTAATCTAACACAGTAAGTTTTAGCATTTTCATCAGGTTGTTTTAATGAAAGCTGGATGGCCGAGCGTTTGTGTTTCCTTTAGGATATTAAGTGTTTTTCACTCTTCAGTTTATTTCATTTTTTAACGATGGCACTCACTGAATTCCGTAAATATTCATTGTATAGGATTGAAATGAAATAAAAAAAAACAACAACAACAGATTGAGTATTGTTAACGGAAATGGAGGTATGAAATATTGATATTCAAGCTTAATTACAATAACATACATAATAAGTGACTCTTATAACAAAGAACATGTACTTTTAGGACTGTATGTAATTTCCAGCGTTTGTTCAGCTTATACTCAGAGGTAAATTCTCACTCGGAATACCTAACCGATTATCCATAATCCCTTTTCCGTATTACAACGGGAATGGCCGAAAAATTACGACAATCTCAGTAACGAGAGGTAGAATTCTATGGCTACTGCATGAATCAAATGAACTTTTAGAACTATTTCCATCACCACATGAAATGTCATTTCTCTCACTTATGGTATGTGACATTTAATTTTAGCTTCCTACCGCCCTGATGATGCATTAACTAAACATATACAATAGTTGCGGCGTGGGGACTATATACGTAACTTTATACCATCAATATTGTATTTATTGTTTAGTCTAATAAGGTTTAATGTAATCTCTACGATAATGTACTTGTAACCGGACACATAATGGCGTACCGTGAAATACAGATAAATCATCTTTATTAACAAGATTTTAAATATATCATTTAAATATATGAATGTATAAAAAAATTATGTTATATAGTATGCGGTCTTAGAAAATTCTCTCGCTCCCATACAAATTGGATAACTTCCAGAACCATAGCAAAAGAGATATAGAAAAAAATACACAAACAAATTAATCCATTTTCAGCACACTGTTGAACTGAATGAACGTGAGCCGGTGGTCTTATGCAAATGCACAAATTAATGCGCGCCAGCGTTCATATGACATTGAACGCTTGTAACACTGAAACAACTTTATCTATTATTATAAAACGCTTAAATATTTCTTTAAATTGAATTCATTAAACATCAAGGGGCATATTATCAGGGTTATTTCAGTTCTTTTTATCTACTCAAAATATTTCAAACCCACTACAAGTGATCTTCGTCTTACCAATAAGGGTTGTGTCAACAAAAAGAGGTTAAGTTAAAAATAGTTAAGATAACTTGCTGTTGTCTTTGATCAATTGTGAATTGAATTCACTATAGTGGTTTTCATTTTAATATCGTATGTATACAAGTCACCAGTAAACAAAAAAATCATATTTAAAAGTCACGATTGAGTTTAAAATGCCTTATTTAGAAATCATGATGCGTACACTACAATACCGTATCAAAAACAGTATCAAAAACAGTATCAAAAATATGAGTGACTTTAAAGTACCTTATTTAGAAATCATGAGTACACTAAAATACCGTAACAAAAGACGTGAGTGGATTAAAATACCGTATTTAGAAGTCATTAGTTAACTAATATTACCGTATGAAAAAAAAGTCATGGGTGAATTAAAAATATTATGTCCACAATTCATGAGTGAATATTAAGCACTGTGAAATCGTGATTAGTTAACTAAAACGACAGTATGAAACAATCATAAATGAATTAATTATATCATGAGTAAAATTGAAATTACCGTATAAAGTCATGATGAGCTACAACGACCGCGTGAAAGAGTCATGAGTGAGTGAGTTATATCATATTCAAAAGTCATGAGTGAATTAGTTATATCATATTAAACAGTCATGAGTTAATTGAAAGTACTATCATGAGAGGTCATGAGGAAGCAACTAAAACGGTCATATGAGAAAGTCATGAGTGAAATCAAAATAATCATATTCAAAAGTCATGATTGAATTAATTTAGTTCCGTATTGAGAAGTCATGGGGAAGCTTAAAATAATCTATTCGCGATTAATTACAAAGCAAAAACTAAAAACTAAGTATATAAAAACATATTTTTATTTTTGAAAGTCACTGTAAAGTAAAAAAGAACGTTTTTAGAACTAGATACGCCTATAAAATAAGAATACATGATTTTATAAATGATTGTTATACGTTTGATATTCAACACCAAGGCATGGTTAAGAATTTTTCGCACTAAGTGTACTCTTAAAACATACACTAATCCCTAAACAGAATTTACCTATGCGACTAGAGCAGACAAAGATCTACTGTAATGGAACAGAACAGAACAGAACATAATCTTTATTTGAGAGGCACAGATTACAAGGTGACATTTTGTTATTACATGTGTACAAATATATATATATATATATATATATATATATATATATATATATATATATATATATATATATATACAAAAAAATTGATAACAAAATAAATAATAATAAATAATAAATAATGGACTTCCATTGTTTTGTTTGATATATTTGTATGTGAAATAAATGCTGCTGAAGAAGGCCGCAAGGCCGAAAGCTACGGCAAATTTAAATTAGCGTTTTTGCTTATATATATATATGAGACGTATATATATATTAAATACTGTAATCATGGTCTGCACTGTTCACAATTCAGTCGGTATTTTTTCTTGAAATGTTCGCTACAAATGATTTTAGACATTTGCCATGGCAACAGTGAAACGAACTTAATGCTAATAGGAAGGAAATTGTGATTTTTTTTATAAATACTTGTTTCAGCCAATATATACCTGTTTTATTTGTGTCATGAGTATGAATAATTAACGGTTAAATAACCCCTAAAACAAATTTAAATTGTGTAAAACGAGAGCGATCGTCGCTGCAGAGATAGATCTTTAATAATTCAATGCAAATTTACATTTGTTCAACATGTACTCTTTTATACGGTTTATTTTTCTGGAAAAAATGCACACGTCCTAAATTATTAGCATACATGTATGTGAATTTTACCTTTATTTTACCAAAGTTTGATAGATTTTAGACAATTATATATAAAATGCAGTAAATATGAACAAAGTTTGTAAAAAAAATAAAACACCTACCATTTGTGAAGACTTCCGAATTCCATTTATTTTGTTATCAATATTTTTGTTCCTGTGTCAGCTATTTTTGACCAGGCGTTGTCAAAAAGAAGAAGGGAATTTTTATTTTAAAACACTTTATCGCCCGACATACATATTAGTGCTAGCTCCCGCTGCCAAACAACCGCAATTTATATACAAAACTGTTCAATAATTCATCAATATTAATAAAATTATGACTAGGTATCTTGTTTAAATGAGCAAACACATTACCAAAGTAAGACTAATATCGCTACTCGAGCTGTCTTTCCCTCACTCATTACGACCAATTTGTAAAGTTCTCCGCGAGTTTGGAAATAAGAAATGGCGTTGTATAGCAGGAATATAACATTTGATAAATCAATTACATTTAACGCCTTATTAACAGATCATTGACGAGGGATGGAAAAAAATTAGTTAAAGTGCCGACACTTGGCGTTATGTGATTTATTTATGCAATAACAAAGCAGACGATACATAAATGACGCTTATTAATTAAAGCTTTCGAAATGGAGATATAAATTAAAAACAACCAACTGGCATCTAAAAAGGAGAGTCCGTTTTAGAAAGAGCACATTTTAAAAGATAGTGTTACAAGTGTCATTCGGAAATAGGCATCCACAGTCTATTAAAAGAATATTGATAAAATAGTGTCTTGTTTGCATGCCCCTTGTTGAGTCCTAGATTGTCGTCGTTAAGGACATCAAAGCGTAACTACGTTGAACAAAATACAGCTTAACAACGTAATGGTAAAATCAAAAATCACTCTAATGCAAAACAATCATTTATCATTGCTCGAGATTCCAATACGAAACCTGATATCCAATACCAAAAAGTAAAAAACTTTCCATATTTTTCATGGGCTTATAAGCCTTATATGATTGGAATAAAACTATATCATGTCATATATTTTACAGTGAGTTGTTCTTTAAACCCATCTTTTTCGTAGATTTTTGTTTTTATTGGTTCGGCCTATTTAGATAGCGAATGATGATCCCGTTTGAACTGAAATTGGAAATACTGTTTTTCTGTCTTTGTAAAAGTTGTAAAGTGGTCTTAAACGGTGTCAAGATAAAAAAAAAAGAAGTGGAATAATACGGAGGCGTGTGAAGACCCCGTTTATCTAGGGCGTATTTCTAATCTCTGGTAAATTTGACATATTTATCTCTTATTCACAATACGTCACATACTCGCTAAATACACCGCGCGACACCCTGCCTGTCAATGGGTGAAGATTACGGCTAAAATTCACGTAAATCTTTGTTTAAGACCCATTAACAATGAGGACAAACTTTTATCATCATGACATAGATGCTCCATAGGCTTGAATATAACACTTGCTACGAAAAATGAGAAGTTTGCCATTTTATTTCCATCCAGCAAAGAGTCTTAAATTTCTGATTTCGGCCAATCTTACAAAAATGTTACTAAACAAATCAAATGTTTATCATAAAAAGAATCTAGTACTAAACTATTTTAAATGTTTTGATCAAAACATTTATTTGATGATGTACTTTTTGGAAAATCTACGGAGTCGAGGTTTACCCAGAATCAGCCCGCACTGTTCGCTAATCAGTCAAAATTTACCATTAAATTCTCCCTAAACTAAAATGATAAATGGTTTTGTCCAGATCTAAAAAATGGACTATTCTATTTAAGATAATTTGAATAGTAAGACAGGATTCAGGCACTGTTGGACACATATCATTAGATGTTCTCGTCCACCAAATCTATCAACGAATACAAAAATACTGCAAATATAATGGTATGAAACTGACAAAGTTTGTGTTATTCTTCTCAGAAACTAAGGACCCCGTTACTACAATTTGTGACAATAAAACTAATAGCTATTCTCAAAACTATTGACCAAATCCGATAGGAGAACTTGTACAATACTAATATAGGCATTGACAAACGAGACAAGTCGCCCAAGCTCTTTTCACAAGACATAAGTTTATATTACCTTCTTGTTACTGCTACAGAATTAGCACGAAAATCTCGTGTTGCAGTAGCTGTATTTTGACATATTTTGTTTCTTAATGACGCTTTTTGTAGTCCTAACATTAGTGGAAGCTGTCCCAATCAATTATTTCTTTGCATAATAGCCACCCTGGGATTAAGCAATTAATAGTAAGCAAACATGCAATTTATCGACCTTAGGCATTTATTCCGATCCGATTAAATGTTAGTTTTACGGAGATAATTCGCTTAGAGAGAAGACAAAACACTAAAATAGTCACATGCAGTAAAAAAACATGTTCTTTCTAATTCTTATAAAAAAAATAGGTGGCAAAATAACGTAACTGCAATGTTTGCAAATCTTCATTTTAGCATGTAAGTATCTAAAGATAAAATATACAAATTGTGGATTGATGCTATATTTAGCAATATTTCGTTTTAGAAACAGTTTTATACTAATACTAAGTTGTTCATAAGCTCATATAATCTCAATAAGCAGATGTACATGCATTGCCTAGATTTGGTAAAATATTTATGCGGCGGTAAGTTTTATATGACCATAAACTCTTCCATCCCCTCAATAAACTGTCATAATTCTTTTCATGTGCACTAATATGAACGTCTGAGGAGCTGTATAAAAAGTATGTATATTATATCATTATATGTTTACTACATTGATTGTGGTATAATTAAACCGAAAAGCACTACATCTGATATTTAAAAGTGTGTAAAGCTATATCTAATGACATATACTTGTTTCTATATAAAATATAAAAAAGAGTAAAATTATGTTGTCTCCCACAATCTTATGATTTATTCTCGAGCGATTTGTGACAAAGAATGTGTCTAATATTCAACACAACTTACATTGTGCATAAAAAGAATATTATGTTCATTGAAGAGATTTTTACGCAGCTCATAAAGTATACTATATACATCAACTTTTTAAATCAACCAATGTCAAAATACAACACCATTTGTTAAATTACCAGTGACAAATACACTATCGGAAGATCGCGCCTTAAAAATCTAACTTATTTTTTTTCTATGAGATCGTGCCATGTCATACTTATTTCACATATTTAATATCAGACCATTTTAGGGTATAAATGACTTACAATAAGTGTTCAAAATAAGTCTTAGATACACAAAAAACACCTATAAAACGTATATGTGATTAAATCGTTTGAGATGTATTTAATAGCGTAAATTTATTACCTACTTGTTTAACTGATAAGTAGCAAACTGTATTACCTTTCCTCGCAATCTTCGATGAAGAATTACACCCCTCCCCTTAAAAAAAAAAAACGGAGCTAAACGCAGCCGTCCAGGAACCCAAAGAATTGCATGTAGGCATACCAATTTATCTCCTATTTTTACACTGTTTTATAGCCATATTAAGATGTCAGATATTCTTAATTCGTTAACTGCAAATATAGCTAAATAACCTTTATTTGATTTTAATTAATTTTTTTCGTATCAACACGATCTAATCGGAAACAAGAATTTATTTTGAAATGAGTGTAAAATTTCAGGGATTTTCACAATTATAAGGCTGATTCCAGCCATGATATCGCCAGTGAACCATGTTTTACCGTGTTATATTTGTTTAAATTCGAAACCGTCCAAATTACCCTTGATTTAATTAATTGAACCGTTTTCGAATATTCAAACAGGAAGTGACTGTGCAAATTTTATGTACGATTATTCGTCACCAATCTGCGTCGATACCGTGGGGGCGTCGAGAAATTTCAATTAGAATAATCAAAGTACTTGAAGTTAAAGCCTGTATACACATAATTAAACAACCTCCCGCTGTTGAACAGTGTCCAATTGATCTGTCTGCTGTAATTTTCTGATTTTATTTCAATTTGTATATATGTATACTAACATGATAACTTGATTACCTTAAGAGTAAAAACAATTTACAAACTTATATGATAATGAAATGATATGATATATTATGGTTACTACAAAGTGTTTACTTTTCTCAAACAGAGACGGCTAAACACTTACTTTAGAATTGTTTGCAATTCCATTCGTAATTTGTATAATATTTTGCTATATTAATTGTTATACACTACCACACGTCACACAATATATAAGAAATAAAGAAAAAAAATCTAGTACATACTTAATATTGTGTTTTCTTATAAAATTAAGCGATACTAAAAGCTATTGTTGGCAATACTAAAAAGTATATATTGGTTATAGGTCTTGCCAAAACCGTAATTGTAACATATTTACTTGATATATCTACATGGTTGAAAAAAAAAAAAAAAAACAAAAAAAACACCAACAAACTGTCATGTGCACAACATAAACTTCACTCTTCTGTTATACAGAAAAAAGTTTAGTTCGTAGTTGCTATGCATTGCGCAAACAAAATTTGATTTCAAGCAGGGATATTTGTTTAAAGTAATATCACGACAAAAAGGTATTTTAAAGATTTAAAATAGATACAAATGTCGAGTTTTGCTGCTTGAACACCTAAAATGATAAGTGAAAAATATATCGTTTCAATAAAATTTCCATGGCTACTGTTGCGTTACAAAATTGATATTTAAATTGCAATAAATTCAAGTTAAAGTGAAAAGCTACTTTACATTTGCGAGCAAATGTTAATAAAATAACAATTTACCTTAGTATGTTTAACAATTTATGAAACATTTTAAGTTAATATGTTAATAAAGAATCAATAAAGTATATACCCAAATTGTCAAATTAGCCACAGATAAATCAAGTTGAACAAGTAAATTTTAATGCCTTAAAAATAAGTTTCATTTATACGTATGTCACTGTGTATTTCTCGTTACACAGGAATGTCTAAATAACGCAGGAATGGTGCAATTATAACTCCAAATCTGTACATGAATGGTCTTGAAAAGCAAGCATTTTCCTGGAAATTTGTTTTTAATGAGGTTAAAAAAATACTGTTTAAGCAGCCGTATGCGCTTTATTTATTTTGGTTATTTTGAGTTTTTGTCTAATATATATTTGTTTGTTGCTCGTTTTGGGTATAAATTGCACCGATTCTGCGTCCATTTTTTATTTTCACATTTATGAGTTACGGATATACATCATGATATTGCAAAGATAAGAAATGTTCCTTTTTCTGAATAATCATTATCTTTCGAATAACCAAGATTGTACCAATATACATTTACATCATGAAAGGATATATATTTTGTGCCACTTAATTATAACTAATTCCAGTATGACATCCAAGAAAATCCGATCTTTCGGAGATCTTATATGTAATTTATTTTACCGAACAGCTATCATTCACAATGATAAAAACAACCAATTGTATAACCATAAAAA